AACCTTTAAAATCTTCCAAGATCTTACATAATAATTTACTGCCTCGTACAAAATCCTTGGGGTCATGCTTCATTGCACCTTATTACGTTGCCTAATTGAAGTCATTATCGTTGAGCTCCCACCAGCCATAAAAAAATGTAAAAATGTGCATACACTCACACTATGGAGCGTTTAATTGCTTCAGTAAATATTCACACAAAACGTTGGCTGATATATTTCAAATTTATTTACAAAAAAAAAAAAAAAAAAATACACAACGAAAAGTTCCCACGACACAGGAGGAAGAGCATTGTGAATTATAAATTCCAAAAGTTGAGGGCAACCCTCGCAGGACGAGGAGGACGAAGAACGCTCGATGAAGGTGATGCGGTGGTTGATAATGCCCCTAGTTGAGCCACTGTCCCTTAAAAAAAAAAATTAAAGGACTGCAGACAGACAGACAGACATACGGTGAGCTGGAATAATTATAATTTTATATCAAGTACTAGCTTGAAAAAGAAAGGAAGCCATAAAATGTGTATCCTTTGCTGACCAACATCATCATTATCATGATGGCGGCGTGTAAATTTCACAAAGTGCATTTGTGTAATGCGAGTTTTGACTTTGACAAAGGGAAAAACTATGCAATGAACACTTAAAAGTGTTGAGAAATTAATGGGAAAACCTTTAACAAGTTTTCAATCAATATGACAATATTAAAAAGTTTCAAATTACAAGGCACTTTCAGTGTGTAATTTAGTAAAAGGGGAAGTGCTTTTTCCAGTGAATTTATAAATTACCTTTGGGAAGGCTTATTATATATTATATATATATATAATATAATATAATGTATATTTAATTTCAGTAAATGAATAATAACCTTTAAAAAGGATTATTAATTCTGAATAAATATAATTTATATCATTTATAAGTAAATAACCTTTTAAACTGTTTATTAGTTCTTAATAAATACAATTTAATTTCAAGCAATCAAAGACATACTTTAAAAGGAGAAACATTATTTTACGAAGCAAATAAATAAACCACAATGTGAATATTTTAGTGGCTTCATTTAAGCTCTCTTGAATAAAAACTTCTTAAATCAAAGTTTCCGCTTCCTCTATCCTGCATATCCTCTTGTGTGTCTGTTCTGTATCAAAAATCCATAACTATGATGTAATTCATAGCTTAGCCCATATTTAACCATAGAAATGTGAAAAGCATTGATGATGGTAAGCCTGTGGGAGTCTGCTTTTCATCCAGATGAAAAGCTGCAACTTTTCCAATGGGATTTCCTAGACTATTGGAGGAGTCAATGGCTTGCCCCACTCGAATGCAACAAGTGTCGTTGGCCTTTTGAGGGCATATTCACAGCTAAAATGTAATTACATTGGGCGAATGGACACCCACTCTATATCGAGGCTCGATTGTGGTTATGCAACACAAATTACACATTTCTACATGCTATATTCCAATATATATACAAAAGTGTCATTGACTGCGCTTGTTTTGTCATCCCAGGGTTAATTGTTTAATGCTAAATTAAAAACGAACTGGAAAATATTACCATATTCTAGCACGGCATCACCCGACCAATGGATGAAACGACATATGCGGCTTATGATTTATGGAGAAGTTTAATGAATTAATTAGGGAGAGTGTTCTGGTACAAGAAGAATGGTTAAAGGTCAATGAAGTGGCAGACAAAAAATTAAATTTGTCTTGCAATTAATATGTCACTCTTAAGCCAAAATTAAGCTCTAAGTAAAGACGAGTTTATATAATTTTGTTGGGTTATTTTTTCTCCATCTACTTGATGTGTTTGTAGAGCTTCTCTATGTTTACCTTAATCATGGAAAATATTCCCCTATTAATTACCATATCACAAAGAGAAAATAAATATTGCTCGTATCAGGGTAAACATTGATAAAGAAACAAGTATCTTCTCTCGCTGCCATATATTTTTTATATTATTTTTTTGTTCATTTTCATTCATTTTTTTATCAAAGCAAACTGCAGTTGGATCTGATTCTCGTGCAAACACGTACTCAGATTTTTTACTGCTGGAACCTGTTTCGTGTCTCGATTATTGGTTGAATGAACCCTTCCGGATGGGTTACCCAACGACACCCCAAACCCTTCTCGGATAGAGGCCATAACCAACTGATTGTTTGTCACTTCTGAAATCATGTTTACTTTTAGTGCGTGATTTGGAATTTATTTTTTATATATTTTTGTTCTTGCTGCTGCTGTCCAAGACATGCGTAAGCCATGAATCATGGAATCTAAAACAAGTTTCAAGCATTCTTGTAACTTTTATGGCGTCTTAAAGTGCTAGTTAACGAATTTCTTTTAGTAGATAAATTTATTGCATAATTTCAATATTGGAATACTTAAAGTTAAAAGGTATTAGATATTTTTTTTTGGAAGGGTATTATCATTTTATTCAGAAGCTTGAAATATGCGAAGGAGATATTTCCGACCCTATAAATCATATGTATTCTTGATTAGCATCAGCAGCCGAATCTATCTAGCTTTTTTCGGTTGAAAAATTTTTTTAAATTTTTTCAAGTTTTGGAAGGGGTTACATCGATAAAATTTTCAAAAATTGAGCATTATTAAAATGTTAAATTGAGTAATCAGTTTTTTTAACCCATAAAAACTAACATAAAAACTTTTCGGAATGAAAATGAATGCTTTTTGGCTAGTATGAGTTTTTAAACTTTGATTTGTCAACAAAAATTTCCATATCGATATATATCGATTAGTAGAATGTTATTGATATATTTCGATTTTAATCCTATAATTCAACTTCGAACTGCAAGGATATATAATCTTGGCTTCCTAAACTTAGTTTCCTTTCTTGTTTACTTAATTTTTCTAGAGTATAAACATTATAGTAATAATATTTTGCCATTTAAACCACTCAGCTGTAACTTTCATATAAATAAATAGGAAAAAAATGTATGTACTTGTGTCCTTCAGCTTCAGTTTTCCAGCAGCCAAGTTGTCGCCCTTAAGCTACTGAATTTATACTCTTCTTTATTGTTATTGGCTGGAAACTTTTAAGGCAAAGGCCAAGAGCTCTGGTAAATCATCTCTCTCTCTCATCTCCTTCCTGTAGAAGTTTTTCCCAAAACCTCTGACCCACTTTTCAGAATGTTTAGATGCCTTTACGTGTTCACAATTCGATTAGCCGGCTTATGTGGGAGAGGGGTTAAAAAAAAAGAATCAGAAATGCAGTCAAACAGCATCCCAAGAGTCAGAGTCAACGCCCTTCTTCTAATGAAGCCAGAAAAAACACGAAACCAAAAGCCAAGTCAAAGTAAAGCTGGCTGAAATGTGCTGCCCTTGCCCGTTTGTGGTCACCAAATATAAACTGAGACGAAATACTTTGTGGTAAATCAAATGGTCAAAACTGGTTTCGTAACATTTTACAGTTACAGCGGAGAAGAAAGTCAAGTTGCAACGGAATTTCGATTTAAGTTGAAAACTGAACTTTACAAATTCTGTGTTCAGAGAGCCACAAAATAAATGTTGGACAAATAAGCCCAATTAGTTGTGTTCGAGTTGGTCAATTAACATGGCTTGAGAGATATTTTTTGGGCTTGGAAAAACTTTATGAAACGGAGTGTTGTGTGGGAAAACCATAAACTTTATATATATCTCAGTTGCTCCGTTCTCAGAGATCTAGACATGCAAACAACTCGAGATTAGCCTTTTAATCATATAAATATTAGATAATATTTTTTGTTTAAGAGCTAAAAACAAAGGTTGTTTGAACGGGTTTATCTTTCCCAAGTTTATTTATTAAAATTAAGCCTAAAAGTTAATATAATACACCAAAAATATGCCCTAGTGCATCTCCATCAAAGTCAAACGAAATCAAAAAAATCAGACAGATTATTTTTACAAAAAAAAAACAAAAATATACAAAATTTTGTTATGATTTTGTGATAATAATTACGAACGCTTAGTTTATCAACAATTTACCGCAATACCGAGGCATGTGATAAAGTCACAAAAATGTCACCCGTGTCGCAGCGCAGCGCTGGGAAAACAAAAGCCACGCCGAAGTCAAGGCAAATAAATGCTAAATAAAAAATAACACAGAAAAAAATAAAAAAAGAACGAATGAAATATTAAATATGTGTGTAAACAATTACGTGAGACACTCGACTATGGCCACGCCCATTGTGCGATAAGCAATGGGAGGCCGTTGGCATTAATTGCTCCTCTTGACTTCAGTTCTAGTTGGGGCCAAGCCAAGTGGAGGTTGCTTTTGGTGGTATCTCGTTGGGAAAAGCTTTTAAATATATGGTAGATAATACACTGAGAAAATATACTAAAGGGTTTGAAGTGTTGTATTTTTAAATATATTTTCAATAGTTAAAATGGACATTATAATGTATACAAATTTAGGTAATATAAAGTTCTCTGACAACTGATAACTTCTGTAAATTGATACAAAATTATCAGGAAAATGTTTCCTGCTTGAATTCTAAAATAAAAATAAATTTATGACATCTTAAGTGCTAAGAAATATAATTTATGGTTTTAAGTTTGAAAACTAATAAATATTTACAAAAATATACTTTATGTTGAACGTGAGAAATTCCCTTTAAAATATCATAAAAAAGTAACAGGTTATTTGATTTTCTATAAAACACGTGTTTTAATAGAAATAATATTTTTCAATAATTCTCAAAACAATATATTTTCCAATTTTTCCCGCGTTGTTAATGGATAATGGGTGTTATATATCCAAGGGCACTTTTGATCTCCGCTCAATGACATCAAACGAGGGGGCGTTGAATCAAAAATTCGAAGTCAGATAAGCCAAGAGTGCTTTCATGTGTCGATAGCGATAGGGAATAAATGAGGGAGACTTTGCCAGCGATTTATTCTGACTCATGCATATTGGAGACAACGACGACGTCAGCAATGATAACAAGAGCTGTTCTGTTGTGTTTTTTTAACCCATTCAGTTGTGACTATAGCCATCTCTAAACATATTCCAGATCTCGCCCATCAATTTAATTTAATCAAAAACCATAACTCAAATTCAATGAACAAATAAAATTGCGCCAATAAGCGATCAATAAAATTTCGCACGAGACAACCACGCAACTTACATACACAAAAACACATTTTGAATCACATTGCCATCTGGCAACGCTGTCAGCCGGCGCTTATAACGGTAATTCAGGAGAATTTACTCACGCCTAGGATCCGATCAGAGGACAGGCAAAGCCATGGGAAACTCGTCGTCTCACACGCACGAACCACTCGAGCGAGGCTTCACACGCGGAAAATTCGGTGATGTTAAAAATGGGGTAGGTTTTGACATACAACTCGGAAGTTGGAAACTACCGGGGGTTGGAAATGCTGTTTAGCATTATACACACTCGCACTTGTTTCGATCTCTCTCTATTTCTCTTTCTTAATATTTAAATGTTGTTTACTAACTAACGATTGTATAAAATGTATCCTGTAGAAATCCGCCTCCTTCCGGTTTAGCAAGAAATCGCCGAAGAAAATGGATCGTCTGCGTCGCTCCTTTCGCGACTCGTTCCGTCGTCGCAAGGATCGTGTTCCCGAGTCATCGAAGCCTCATCAGTGGCAGGCCGATGAGGAAGCTGTGAGATCAGCAACCTGCTCCTTTTCGGTGAAGTATCTGGGCTGTGTGGAGGTTTTCGAATCACGCGGCATGCAGGTCTGCGAGGAGGCCCTCAAGGTGCTCAGGGTAAGTGATGAGAGGACACAGAGGATCAGGGATGTCCTTGACTCTGTCTCCTCTTTAGTAAATAAAAATCCCTTCGTACTCAATGACTAATTACGATATCTTCCCCTCTTTAGCAATCTCGACGTCGTCCTGTCCGCGGACTCCTCCATGTCAGTGGAGATGGTCTTCGTGTGGTGGATGATGAAACCAAGGGCTTGATTGTGGACCAAACCATCGAAAAGGTTAGCTTCTGTGCACCGGATCGGAATCACGAGCGTGGCTTCAGCTACATTTGCCGGGATGGAACCACACGTCGCTGGATGTGTCATGGTTTCTTGGCCTGCAAGGATTCCGGGGAGCGATTATCCCATGCAGTGGGTTGCGCCTTTGCCGTTTGTCTGGAGCGAAAGCAGCGTCGGGATAAGGAGTGCGGAGTGACAATGACCTTTGATACAAAGAACTCGACCTTTACGCGTACCGGATCCTTCCGTCAGCAGACACTTACAGAGCGCCTGGCCATGGCCACTGTGGGCACCAATGAGCGCAGTGTTGATGGTCCGGTTTCGGGTTCGATGCCAGGACCACCGGCAGCCACCGTTAAACCGTTCAATCCTTTCGCCATCGAACGTCCCCATGCCACACCCAACATGCTGGAGCGTCAGAGCTCCTTCCGCCTGAGCACGATCGGTAGTCAGTCGCCGTTCAAGCGTCAAATGTCGCTTCGTGTCAATGATCTTCCGTCCAATGCCGATCGCCAGCGAGCCTTCCTAGCCGCCGCCGCTGGAAATCCATTGCAGACGCCGCTGCGCAGTGTCTCACCCATTGCCGAGGTATCGCCGGCCAAGTCGGGTTCTGGAGCGGATCAGTCGTCCGCTGCTGCCGTGGCCGCCGATTCTGTGAGTCAGCTGTGCCAGGAGCTCAGCCAAGGACTGTCGATGTTGTCGCAGTCGGATGCACTTCTGGCCGCCGGTGATGATCTGAACTTTAACAATAATCGCAGCATTAATCAAAACATCATAGCCGCCGAGAAACAGGGCCAGCATGTAATTTCGTACAGTGCCACGCCCACGGCTCAGGTGACACCACGAGTGGTCAGCACAACGCCCACATACCAGACGCTTCACTCACAGCAATCACCGACGCGATCGGAGCACAGCATCGAGGCCTCGACGGAGCTGCCCAATGCCGAGCAGTGGCTGGGTCAGGTGGTGCGCAGCACTTCACCGGCGGCACCCAAGCGTCCCAGTTACCTGGCCAATGTGGGACGAGCTCAAACGCTAGCCAGTGGTTCAGGCGGTCCGGATGATCCCTTCGATGCTGAGTGGGCGGCAAATGTGGCAGCGGCCAAGCAAATGTCACCGGATATGCCAATGCCGAGCACCTCACGTTCGCCGCTGGCCAGGCACAGTACCAATCCGTTCATCTCACCGCCCAAGGCGCCGGCGCAGACATTCCAGGTGCAGCTCTAGGAAGCAGATCACGAACGGGGATCATCAAGGGGGACAAAGTGTGGTTCGCTTGAAAAAGACGTAACTTAGTTTAAAGTAAAGGAAAAGAAGGAGGAGCGGGTCCAGCACAGATGTTCGAGAGATCAGAAGGATGGATGGATGAATGGATGAATGGATGGAGGTTATCAGAGATACTTAACGCAAACATAACTAATGTTGAAATATTCAAAACAAGAGAACCTAAGATACAGCTATTTATACGCAGAATGCATCAAGAACACACCAACTTGTGGCGCTTAGCACAGAATGCTGCTTTGAATGAATTCATTAGCTCTTAAGAGATCTTATACCGGAAGTCAGACTTTTTTTAGGAGGGCCCTTAGAACACGTTTATCTAGCATAATGGCATTACAGCCGCCCCCCTCTCTGGTGACTACGACTGATTCAGTATAAGATCCCTTGGATTCCCTCACCTTCACTAACCACAAAAACACAAATTGACCAAGCTACCAAGTTACCCACGAAGACCACCATAAAGCAAATTTAAAGAAACAAAAAACGTAAACAACATAAAGCACCATTTATACTTAAAAAGCAAAAAATCTGTATTATACTTTGGTAATACCCTTCCAATACTTGTTGATCGATCCCACTAAGAGTATAGATTAAATAAATAATTGCTAATTAGTTAACTCTATGTCTTAGAGCAATTATTATTATTATTTTGTCAGTGTGTCAGAGTTTTTATCTATCAAAACATTTATTATTTAGTTTAATTTTTAAATCTGTACAAAATGTATTATACTTAAATTATAAATATAATTTAAAAATAAAAAAAAACGAAATGAAAAAAAAGAACATGATTGAACTTAAAGTTATTTCAAGCAGCTAAATAAAAAGGCAACTAATAAAATAAAACAAATAAAGTTATATATATATAAAGCTATACATATTAAATATTGTAAAAGACAAAGCGCAACTAAACAGAAACGATAAATACATTTGATTTGTGTGCTTCATGTGAATGGCGATTTAATTGTTTTATTTTTTTGTAAACTAAACTATATGGCTGAATGCGCTATTCATTCAGTTGTTTATCGGTTATAAAGGTTATAAAAAATATATTGTAAAAATCTAACCAATGCACCAAAATGTTACTTAATGTTGATATACATAAACCCTAATCAATCCTAGATAGAATCATCTAAAAAGGTAAAGAAAATAGCCTTGTCCTAAGATATATTCTGGTGGAAACTAATGCTTAAATCTGTACAAATTTCCTACACATTCTATGTACATATAAAATCAATTTATATTTTAATTTGCACTGAAAATTGTCTCACCTGGCTTGATTTGAATATGTTACATTTTCTTCATAGGGAATCAGAATTTTCTATATATTTACATGGGCACTATTGGAACAAAAGGACTTTCTAAAAAATACAAAAATTAAAAAAAATATAAAAATCTGCACCAGCGCAGCATTGTTTTTGCGACAAAGTTTGTCCCTAAATTGATAAATTCCTTGAGGAATCTTGAAGAACAAATTATATATATATATTTAATATTACCTTATACATGAAAGAAACAAATTTAAAGATGATATAATTATATATATCCTATTATACGTATATAGGAAATGCATATCGTTTCGTTTGACGTTTAGTAAAATTGACATGCACCCCGAACATATAATACCTTTAATGAAATTGACATATTAAAGAAATGCCACATATTATCTGAGATATTATGGTTTATTCAGTTTGTTGGACAACAAAAAATGTCGATCAAATGGTCGTTATTGGATATTCAAGTATTGTGAAATATTGATCATTCATATTAAAGTTAAATAAACGGTATGGAAATATAAATAATTAATGAAGTGGGGCAAAATGTGAATTAGTGGGAAGTACTTTACTAAATAGCAATGATGAATTAAAGCATTTTGGTTATTTTATTTCGTTATTTTGTTTGCGAACCTGGTATTCTTTGAATTTATTAGCAGATTTTTCACTAATTGTTTATAAATAAATTAAAAGATTATGGAAACTCTTGTCTGAAAATAATGGTAAGTAATTTTTGCTTTATTACAGTTTTGTATTTATATTTTTAAAAGCTATTATTCTTCACATTTCTTAATATTTTTATTTTTTGTATACATTAAGGCAACCCTGAAATTAAAGCTTTTCGAAAAGTGAGATGGAGGCGCCAGTAAAGTTTCTTTTTTATGTAAAGAAACTCTTAGAGCTGTATTTTACTGACAGTAGAGTAAAATCCGGTTTACTTTACATATTTGGGATTGTTTTTATGTTTCTATGCGATATTGCTACGAAATTAAGCTATGTTTAGAAAGGTTTCTATGTTCATAGAAATGTCTATGTTCTATATTAAACGCAACTTTCAGTGTTTCTTGCTTAAATGGTTCACGTTTCCTAAGCTAACTTTTAAACAGAATCAAATTCGGCGCCAGTATTTCTATGTCCTCTGCTATGTTTCTTGTTTTTGTATTCTATATTTGAGTGTTTCTATGATATATGTAATTCATTTATTCCATTCAAGATTCTGGTTTCGATATTTATTCTATATGACGTCCTTTTGGCGCTAGTATCCCTTTTGTCTATATATCTTGCTATGTTTCTATGATTTATTCTATGCCATTTATCCGTACATTTTCTATATTTTCCTTTTTCTATATATGTATATTTTTTGTAGGCTATTAATTTCATGTGGAATAGTCATCCCAATAACAGGAAAGATCCAAACTATGAAATCAGATATTTTAAAGGAACTCAAAGACATTAACTTTATAGTTTTGAAATTCTAAATAAATTGAAGCTATGTTTATTAACATATTTAAATAGGTTGTGTTCTACGTTTTGCTTATTTTCTATGAGCTTATATAGAATACTACGTTTAGAGTTTTCAATGAGATTTTCTATATATTTTGTTATGTGTAATGTTTTCCTGTCCTTAGTGTTTATTTATAGTGATATTACTGCTTCGTTAATTTTATTTACACACTATATTATTAGGTACATTTTTTATATATTTCTTAAATTTTATAGTAACTGAGCTTTGAATCTATGTTTTTCATTTCAATCTTATAAACGCTAGATGGCGCTGAAAGAAATAAACAGTTTTTCGAAATTGAAACAAAGTTGAAACAAGTTTATTTGCAGTCTATTTATTGTATTAAATTTATAATACAAATATATTTTTAGGCTTTCAAATTCATTATTATTTTCTTAGTGTTATTTAACTTGGTAAAATATTTACTACAGTCTACAATAAGTTATTTTTGCTAAGAGTACTATCTTTTAATTTTTAAAACATAAATAAGTAAGGCAGGCTGACTACAAACATTAAAAGCTATTCCCTCATTATTGCATTACTACCAAAACAAACTAATGAAAATGATACCAATTACAATTTAAAATCAAACTCCCATTAATATGAAGGATAACAAGGCAATAAACTAACAAATTGGCAAAAACGAAACTATGAACTGATTGCAAAGTTTCTCGTATTACTTTGGGCGATATAGATGGGCGAAGCCATTCAATATTTGCATTATAATCTTAACGCTGCTACCGCTAACTATCCTTCGTCTGATTCACTTTTTAGCCCAACTAAAAGTAAGAGAGAGAGAGAGAGAGAGAGAGACAGAGAAGAGCGGCGACCGCCAGGTCATCAAACATAATTACTTGCCCAAGAGGCATGCGCCAGTTGACATTTTGGTGGCGACTCCGCGTTATTGCCCCCATCCTCCTCCTTTCACACCCTTCCAACGTTCATTAGCCGCGTGGCTGGGAGGAACTTTAAGGTGAGAGTTCCTCCTCCACCCCCCGACTCCAATCTCTGCGTCCTTCGTCCGTTGCCAGGTGCCTTGAGCCATTTTTGATAATGAATTTCATTTGGTCCGCGCCGTGCCGGTTGCCCTTTTAAGTAGACTACAGTTTTTAACAAACTGGAAATGCGAACGGAAGTCGTGTGGCTCGTTGCAGCTAAATGATCAGCAAAGGAAAACGATATAAAATATTAGGGAAAATTACTTTCTTAGTGAAAATTAAACAATAATTATATTAAATTATCAAAATTATATATGTATATTTATTAGCTTTAAGGAGGGAAGAGTTTATAACATTAGGAAAGTCTAAGATCTGTGTTTTTGTTTTTCAGAAAGATCTACTGAAGTGTGCCTTTTCTTAAATATTAATAATTAAGTTAAGAACCTTCACTTTAAAATTTTTACTAAAATAACAACTTAATATATACCTAAGACTAAAAACTCCTATCTAAAAGCACACAGATTATTGTTCCAATAAATATTTGCTATTTCTTTGAGGAAACAGAAACTAGCACTTGCACTCCACAATCAACTGTCAATGAACTCGATGCAATTTTGTTAACAAGTTTCTGGTTTCCGCCCAAAAAAAGAGCTCTCCTTTTCGTATTTGTTCTGCTCGCTTTTAGCTGCTTTATAGTCTACAGTTGAAATTTATGTTTATTTTTTTTTCATGCCATGCAATTTGCTTTTTGATTATGTGGACGCGGTCAGTCGTCGTTCCTTTTGCCAGGCAAGAGCGGACAGAATTTTGCGCGTTTTCTCCTTTATGCATTCAAGATGATGGATCTAACAAATAACTCATTTCTATGATAACTTGGCCAATTGCCCGTCTCCGACCCAACCGGCCAGCATAGCATCGCATAGCATCGCATCGTAGCTTTTCCTCGCTTTCCCTCGCTTTCACTGGGCTGCATTGTGCTTAAGTTACTTAGCTTTATGGCTCAAATGGAGATGAGTGCAGCTTGAGACGCCGGTCGGAAAAGCGCCACAACCAGCACCAAGTTCTTGCTTATTGACACACATCTGCCCCGGAGCGTAAGTAGTTTAAGGCGAAGGAGAACAAGGCAGGAAAAACTAAAAAACAACAGGGGAGGAAAAGCCTTTCCCGGCTAAAGTTTAAAGCGGCAGGGTTTGATGAACTAAGGCTGGATTTATAGTAGCTATAAAAGAATGGATTGCACATAAAAGGTACCCCCCAAAGGAAACAAAGATTAAGCTCAACAAATATTTTTTTTAAAGTTCAAATTACAAATTAAACAAGATTTTCCTAAAGTCCATTGCTGATGCCAATTGCAATGATAGTCAATGATCCTGAAATGCTAAAACACTAGCACTCCGTTGCAGCTTGGACAGTTGATGTCAAAATTTAATTACAGTTTGAGCGCCGGCAAAGTCATTTTGTGGCAAGCTCAAATTAAGCGCAACGCAAGCCACAACTCTCACAATCAGACGGTGTCCTGCCAGACAGACAATTATAATTAGCCCAAGGATGGAGCAGGGGATGGGACAATGAGACCAAGGCTAAGTCCTTAATCCAGACGGTTTCCTGCTGTGCCGTCGTCTTGACTCAAATGAAAATTACATTTAAGATGCGTGCCAGCAAAGGGCAACTACGATTGGCCATGGACCTCTAAGATTTTGGTCAGACTTTGGCTTAAGGACTATATGTCTCAAGGATGTTAAGGAATGCGATAATATTTATGTTTAGGTTTATATTTTCCACTTTCTATGATAATTCTGGGAAATTTGAAGTCTTAGTATCTTTATAAATCAATTCCCTTATTAAATTAAAATCTCTTTCCCTGAAACTTCAACTTATTTGACGATGTCAGTTTCATAAAGTAATTCTT